GTCTAGTTCTTGCCATAAAACTGCACTATCTGTTTAGTTATGCCTCTGCCTAAACTCTGAGAGTCTTACATGAGGAAACAATATTCTTTCAATCTCTTGCCCCCAAACTCAACACAAGAGCTATTTTTTTAGGAAACAAAACTGTTTTCTTTTTCTTTCTCCTATGTATTTAAAAACCTTAGGTGTTAGTTTCCACCCCAAATTTTAAAGTCACAAAAATGTGTGTCCCGGAAACAGATAATTATAACGCTTCACATTTTATTTTTTTTAACTCTTGGCTATGGTTCATTGTTTTAAAATATATTAATTGTATCCCACGGCAACCATTAAGAAAAATATACTTAAAAAAATTTTTTTTCATCCCATCTGTGTTTGAGCATTTGTTGAAATGGCAGGATTCCAGTAGGACTCTCATAGTCCTATAGGTCTTCTTGTGCTTTAATGTCACTCAAAACTCCTTGGCCTATTTTTTCACCATATGGAATTCACGCCACATTCTTCTGATATCACTGGAATGTGTAACTGAGATATATTTTCTCTGTTGCCAATATTCTAATGTGAACTCATTCTGAAGTCAGGCAGAAGCTGGTCTTTTCCGCCTGGTGCCTCATAAACCACCCATATCAAAACTGAACCAACTAATTAGGGCCATAATTTATGTATGGCCAACTAAAGAGTTTTTAATGGCTCATAACATATTTGTCAGCTCTAAGAACAATTCAGTGAAAACCAGATGGCCCATAGTATTCTCCTTTTGTTGGCATGATGTGCCTAATTTCTATAGTACAGTCAAGATTAGCTCCTCTTGGTATTATAAATTTTTTAAATTGTAATTTTATTCATTTTCATATCATTTTCAACATTACAACATAAACCATAAAGTAGGAGCCAAGTAGTCAGATAAAGTGATTCTCCTCCTTGTCAATATGTCACTAGAGAGACTTTTTGAAAGAAAGGTGATCAACCTTTATTTATTTTGGGTGTGATAATGTAGGGGAAAAATCATTAACTTAATAAAAATAACCAAAAAACATGAATATTCAACATATAGAAGAAGCACTATAAATCACTAGTAGTTGTGTAAAAATAGTCAACTTTTCCAATATTCAAAGCTATTTTATCCATGAAAATTGAGAGAATACACTAAATGCTATTTTGCTGTACTTTTTCTAGGTCACTAACAATCTATTAGCAAAAGGGTACACTTGTTCTCTGTCCCATTTTTTGCACATTTGCATCACATTTGGTGTCACTTTATTGTTTGTGTTCATTAAAAGGAAACATTGTATGCAGGAAATGCCTGTCACTGTTTGGCTTTAATAATAGCTATCATTTGTTGAAAATTTCCTACATGACAGACACTGTCCTTAGTGTTTGTACAAACATTATTTTATATCATCCTTATAACAATTTTAGTGTTTTACATATAAGAAAAATAAAGCTTTTTAATTTAAGCTTAATTAGGCTTATGAAGAAGGCAGGATGATGGCTGCTGCCTGGGGGATAGGGAGGCAGGGGCATCCTGTTCTTCAGGTCAAGCCCTGGTCAGTCTCCCAGGCTGAGATGCAGACCTGAGCTCAGAGCCGGGTGTCGGGGAGTGTCTCAGGTGTTGGATGATCGGGCCCCTGGGAGAAGCCATGCGGAGGGTGGACATGGTCCTTTGAATTGCTAGGGGAGCAAGAGCCCTGCAAGGCAGGAGGTCTGTTTTCTAAGGCCAGATCTAAGCAGTGTTGGGCTTCCAGGGACACTAGTGGTAAAGAACCTGCCTCCCAGTGGAGGAGATATAAGAGAGGCGGGTTTGATCCCTGGGTCAGGAAGATCCTCTGGAGGAGGGCATGGCAACCCTCTCCAGTGTTCTTGCCTGGGGAACCCCACGGACAGAGGAGCCTGGTGTCCTGCTCCTTTGTAGGGTCACAAAGAGTCAGACACAACTGAAGTGACTTAGCATGCAACATACTCAGGCTTATGAAGAAAAATAAAATTATCTGAGATTTGTTTCAGAAATATATGGTTGAAATGGTGAAACTTGGATTTTAAACTCTATTATTATGTCTGCCTTCAAAGCACCTACAGGAAGTCCTGCACATATGAACTTTCGAGTTGCAGATTTTCAAAGATGTGAACCTGTGTTCACATGTCCAGCCATGAGAGTTAGTTCACAGGTTTGGTGCATGCTGTTATGTGTATGCATCCTCTAAAAGTGGTTGTGCTTCTGTGTACTTTCCTGTGGAGACTAGCTGCTGTGAAATAAGAGGAGCTTACTAATGAAGGTCTGATGGAATTGGGGGCCTAGAGAAGGGACCAAGAGAGACTAGAGGAATAAGAAGTAACTGAAGAATCAGAGAGATTCACGATGCAGGAAATGACAGGGGATTTTCTTTACTCGAGGAGGACTGTTAGTTTTTGAGGCACAGGACCTGGTAGAATGATACACAAAGGTTGCAGTAGCCATTCAGAGTGCAGTCAGTGCTAATGTATGAAAAAATTATAAAAAAGAGTTACTACCCAGACATCACTGGGTCACTTTTTCTCAAGAGAGTAGATAGAATAGAATCCAGCGGGAAACCAGAATCTGCACCATCAAAGTCAGGCATAAATGAAATTAGAGCTTGCCCTCTGTTTCCTGTTACTGACCCTCCTTCAGCTTCCCATCTTCCACTTCCTCTACCTCCTGCAGGCAGTAACTGTTCTTGACTGTTCACTCAATGCCATCCTTGTATGCCAGCTGTTTACTATACTACAGTACTTTTCAAGGTACTGTACTGTACATTTTAAAGTGTTTTATTTTTTGTGTTTGTTTTCTATGTATTATTTGTGTGAAAAGTATTATAAACCTATTACAGCATAGTGCTATATAGCCCATTGCATTAGCTGGGTACCTAGGCTAACTTTGTTGGACTTGTGAACAAATTGAACTTAGGAAAATACTCTTGGAATAGAATTCATTCATATGTAGGGGACTTACTGTACTCTTGATAACAAACTAAGCTCCCTTCTTATTTGATGTGAAATTAATTCATTCAGTTTGCTGAGTCAAGTGACCTATTGTCTCTACCAGAAACAAATGGACAGACTGACAAAGAGGAGGGCAGTGGCCTCAAGGGAAGCCCTGTTAGGGATAGAGTAGGGTAACTAAATAGTCAGTTTAGAAATCCCACTAGGGGATTAAAAACAGAAAGGGAATTTTAAGGGCATTCAGGAAGCTGTTAGAAGCTAATGATCACTCAAGAAAAGAATCTAGTAACCAAGCAACAATCTACAGTACCTTGAAGATAGACCAGATGCCTCCAAGTGCTAGACACACTCAAGCCACAAACTCTGACAATTACAACACCATACAATAGATATAGGGTTTGAATCTTGTTACAGGAAGTCAGAGAGTTAATAATCTTTGAAGAGTATAATTTCTGTATGTAACTAAGACAGAAATATAGGTGAAAGGGGAAATAAACTAGGCGAAAGGGGGCATTATACTGAAACCTGAGATTGGAAGGACTGATGCTGAAGCTGAAACTCCAATACCTTGGCCACCTCATTCGAAGAGTTGACTCGTCAGAAAAGACCCTAATGCTGGGAGGGATTGGGGGCAGGAGGAGAAGGGAACAACAGAGGATGAGATGGCTGGATGGCATCACCAACTCGATGGACATGAGTTTGAGTAAATTCTGGGAGGTGGTGATGGATAGGGAGGCCTGGCATGCTGCATTTCATTCATATGAATAAATCAAAGAGTTGGACATGACTGAGCAACTGAACTGAACTGAGATAAATTACCATAGTTTAGCATATGTTAGGCTTCACAGGTGGCTCAGACAGTAAATAATCTTCCTGCAAAGTGGGAGACCCAGCTCCTTTTGCTAATACACAGATGATTTAAATAGTGCCATGACAGTCCTGGTTAAACCATATAGGGCCAAAGGAGGAACTAGTGATGTAAGCTTTGATGTCTGCCCGAGAGTGGGGAAGAAGGTGGTCTTCTCTTCACCCCACTTTTTCTTTGATTAGACACGTGTACCCCAATGTTCATCACAACACTGTTTACAATAGCTAGGACATGGAAGCAACCTAGATGTCCATCAGCAGACAAATGGATAATAAAGCTGTGGTACATATACACAATGGAATATTACTCAGCTATTAAAAAGAACATATTTGAATCAGTTCTAATGAGGTGGATGAAACTGGAGTCTATTATAGAGAGTGAAGTAAGTCAGAAACAAAAACACCAATACAGTATGTTAATGCATATATATGGAATTTAGAAAGATGGTAAAGATGACAGTATATGCAAGAAAGGAAAAGAGACACAGATGTATAGAACAGAGTTTAGGACTCTGTGGGAGAAGGTGAGGGTGGGATGAGTTGAGAGAATAGTATTGAAACATGTATATTATCATATGTGAAACAGATCGCCAGTCCAGGTTTGAAGCATGAGACAGGGTGCTCAGGGCTGGTGCACTGGGATGACCCTGAGGGGTGGGATGGGGAAGGGGGTGGGACAGGGGTTCAGGATGGGGAACACATGTAAACCCATGGCTGATTCATGTGAATGTATGGCAAAAACCACTACAATATTGTAATTAGCCTCCAATTAAAATAAATAAATTAATTTAAAAAAAGTGTACCCCTCTCTTTTCGCAGAACAACTGTTCTCCCTTGCCAGCTTGCTTGAACCTCTCACAAACTTCCTATGCTAATAAACTCACTCTTGGCCTTTCACTTTTACTCACACTGAATTCTGAGACAAGAAAAAGAACCTGAGCTTCAGTTGATTAAAACCAGCCACCTGTTGGGAGAGACTAAAATAACCAAGATGGCGTGTTCAGGTTCTCTCACCCCACGCTTTGTCAAGAATAATTATCCAACAGCTGAGAGCACTTAGAGCACCGCGCATGCATATCACGAGGCACTTGCTCGATCACGGAACACTTGGTGCGGTACGCGTGAACTCCACCAAAACAAGTGCGGCTTGGCCGCTGCCTCCGGCTGTGTCCGTTGAGTCAGCCCTGAGAGAAGAGAAGACGCCTGCCTACTTCCAGGGCTGCGTCATCAGCCAGGAGCGACCCTGTCATGGCCGCTGTGTCAGCCAGGAGGGAGGGTGTGTGCGGCTGTGCTGCGTTCGGTCTGCTGCTGGGCTGCCCTGCCAGCCGGAGGAGGATAAACGTGTCTGCAGTTCCTAGGCTTCTCGCTTCTTCCTCCATCCTCTCAGCTCGGCCTCGCCTACGCTGGGTTCAGCAGTGCGGACCGTTTCAACGGCAAGGCAATCCGCACTATGAACAGGATGAAGAGAAATACATCACCTGACACTAGGTGGGTTGTTTTGATCAAAAGACAGAGGATTTGAGTCTGCTCCGAGTCAGGGATCAAGTTCAAGTCGGGGTCAAGAGTTCAAGTCCCAATGTGAGGTGCGAGTCCCACCCCTGAGAAGGAGTGTTGTTTCAAGTGAGGCTAAATTAGACCTGCCCAGTGGCTGTGTTTAGACCCCTGGGTTGGACTGTTTTGATTGGGGTAACTGTTGACAGTTTTTCCTCAAGAATTACTCTTTTAATTGCCTTTATTTTCCTAACTAGAATCTGATTACTCTGCATACACCTTACTCCTTATGATTGCCATGTAAAACGTCCTTTCATATAGGTAGAATTCTAAATTATATAACATCTATGGAATAAGCTTTGTTTGTTTGAGTGGTTCCACAGTGTTCCCTGGAAAATTGATCAATGTAGTCATTCACTTTGGAAAAAAAAACAACAAAACATTTCTTAAGCCACAGGTCTACGTTGGATACTCTTTTAGGAACAGGTAGAAAGATAATCATCTTCTTTAGGAACTCAGAGGATAGCTGGAAAGTCAACCACACAGGCAATTAATTAGGAAGAATAAATTTTAAAAGGTTATACATTTGAAACAAGTGCTAAGAGAAACTCAGAGAGGGAATAAACAATGCTTTTAGACCAGGGCTTCCCAGGTGGCGCTAGTGGTAAAGAGCTTGCCTGCCAATGCAGGAGACATAAGAAATGCTGATTTGATCCTTGGGTCAGGAAGATCCCTCGGAGGAGGACACAGCAACCCACTCCAGTATTCTTGCCTGGAGAATTCCGTGGACAGAGGAGCCTGGAGGGCTATAATCCATAGGGTCACAAAGGGTCAGACATGACTGAAACTTAGCAAGAGCGAAGAAGAAACTTAGGAATTTACAGGCTTTGAAACTAGAGAGATCTAGGTTTTCGCCAAACCCTGACACAGCTACTGATATGCTATGAACTTGGGAAACTTATTTAATATCTCTTTTCTTCCTCTGTTTAAGGAAGTTGGTACCTATTTTAGAAGAATGTTATGAGAATTAGAAATATTTACTATAAGGCCTTTGCTGAAAAAGGTTCATATAGTCAAAGCTATGGTTTTTCCAGTAGTCATATTTGGATGTGAGAGTTGGGCCATAAAGAAAGCTGAGCACTGAAGAATTGTTGCTTTTGAACTGTGGTGTTAGATAAGACTCTTGGGAGTCCCTTGGACTTTAAGGATATCAGCCCAGTCAATCCTAAAGGAAATCAACCCTGAATATTCATTGGAAGGACTGGTGCTGAAGCTGTAGCTTCAATACTTTGGCCACCTGAAGTGAAGAACTGACTTATTAGAAAAGACCTTGATGCTGGGAAATATAGAATGCAGGAGGAGAACGGGATGACAGAGGATGAGATGGTTGGATGGCATCACTGACTCCTTGGACATGAGTTTGAGCAATCTCCAGGAGTTGGTGATGGACAGGGAAGCCTGGCATGCTGCAGTCAGACATGACTGAGCAGCTGAATTGAACTGAACTGAACTGATGCAGCACTCAGCAAGGTGTTATCAGAGACATAGCTACCTTAGATGCATAGAATTATTTTTCTCATTCCATTAAAGTTAAACTTATCCATGTGGCTTTCTATAGGCAGTGGAATATTGTGGGTATGATACATATCATTTCTGAGTGAAAGTTTAAAATTTTCTGTGCTGTTCTTTTTAATGGTGTGATGAAACCTGTGTTGTAATGGAAGTTCTGTAAAATCAAAGCAACCTGGAATGTTGAGTCAATACGTAGAAAAAAGCGCACACTTTTGGTGGGTTTTATGTCAGTGAAAAAATGAAATTTTGTTGTTTAGTTTTTTGGGTCTTTGGTGACTAGCATATTCTGGCCATTTTGACTAATGCAATAATAGATACTGAAAAAAATTGTATTTGTTGTTATTAGAGATGCAGGAGAGGAGGGACAGCAGGAGAAATAAGAACTTGGATTCATACAAAAATTGAATCAAATTAAAAGGAGGCAATTATAGGAATATTCTTACTCTTTCTCTACAGAAGAATTTGGGAAAAATGCAAGGAAGTATTAGCTTTCTAATATATTAGATATATATTTTAAGTAACTTGGAAAGGTAAAGAAGTGCTATATGCTTGAATATTTGAGAACGTAGTACTTGAAAGGTCACAAGGAATATTTAGGGCAGCACTGTCCAATAGACATAAAACATAAGCCCAAAATGTGGTCTTTTATGGAACTTAAAATTTTCCAGTAGTCACAAAATGAAAAGTAAAAAGAGACAGAAGAAATTAATGATATATTTTACTTAGCTCACTCTGTCCAAAAGATTATAATTTTAACATGTGATCAACATAAAATATTAGCAAAATGCCATCCATTCATTTTTTTCATATTAAGTCTTTGAAATATGGTGTATACTCTGTATCTCATGGCAGATATCAATTGGGACTACTCAACTTTCAAGTGCCCCATAGCCACATGTCACTAGTGATTCTCATATTGGATGGTGCAGATTTAGAGTCTGGGTAAGGAGTGATGTCCGGAGAACAGGAAAGACATATAGAAATAAACATAGTCTACAAATTCACCTACACATTCTAGTGAGTGATATGGAGAAGTGTTCTCTTACTTTTCTGGGCCTTAGTTTCATCACCTATAAAATGAGGATGATACTTAATGAAGTATTTTAAGGATCACATAATATTGTGCACATAAAAATACCTTGTAAGGCATACCAGTGCAACACTGTAAAATAACTATACTCCAATAAAAATCATTCAATAAAAAAATATATATCCAGTAACTTTTAAAATATTTTCCAAAATAGAAAATAGAAGAATAAAATTTAAGAAAAGGAAATGTGTTCTCAATAAATGGACTAGGCATACATTCATCAGATGACCTTATTTAAGCTCTAATGCCACCCCAGTCACTGATAAGGGAATTCTGGAGGGATTGCCCTGACTTGAGTCAGGTTTCTGTATCAGGCTTTTACCAGGTAAAACGGAATAAGTAGAGAAGATACCAGACAATTCAATGAGATGATAAAGTGGGCAATACAGTGTGGAGAATGGGTTCATGACACCTTGTTTCCCGATCCATCATTGCCGATGACTTGTGAGACCTTCAGCAGGTCCCTTACACTTTATGCTTACTAATCTGTAAAACTGGAGATGACAAATAGCAACTTTACAGGATTGTTCTAAGACCTAAATGAGTTCATATGTGGGAAAGTACTTGATCATCTGTGAAGAGTTACAGAAATTTGAGAAAGTATTAAGCACTTTCTTGCAGAGATTTTCTTTGTTGGTATTGTCACTTATTCACAGTCCAGTCAAACATAAAATGTGAGAGTTCCTGAGATGAGGATTTTCTTCCGTCCTATGATTGGTCACATGTGCTCTTTTGGGGGCTTATTTTCTCTCTCTGGCAAAATACAAAGTTGCTTGGGAAAAAATTAATTAAAAAAATCACTTGGATCCAACTTACAATCTTTTTGGGCTCTGGGGAGGGAATTGGTTATGTAAAAAGACTTCTTAGACTTTCTCTTTTTGCAAGACTGAGTCAATTTTTTTTTGACCCCTCCACAACAACTACATACTTCTCCTTTGAAGACTCATTCTGTAACTGAAATGAAGTTCACCAAGGTTCCCTTCCCTTCCTTTGCCTGCAGTGCACCTACAGTCACTTTCAGCTCAAGTCAGAACCAGTACCCAGCCAAAACTTCTTTAAAGAAATTTGCTGAAAAACTTTAAAAATTGTCCTCAGTGCTCAATTCTCAACTTGCCTTTTATCAAAATGTAATAAATAAGGCTGGCAATTTTGATGACAACCCAAAAACTCTGGAGGAAAAAAAAAATAAACCACATTTTTCAGGCTAGGTAACTCCCTTCATCCTTCATCCTGAAAGCAAACCTTTTTCTTTCTTCTCTAATTAAATAGTTAGGATAGTGGTGATTATTCAACCAAAAGACACGAAGACCTGTCAAACTCCCTCCCTCCCTTCCCTTCTGGGCAGATTGTTGTGATTCCCGAGAAACTGTCAGGAGCAGATGTTGGCTGGGCTTGGGGGTGGAGGCAGTTCTTCCAGTCTCCTTAGGGAGCCCTGTTTCTTAAGTGCTTCCACTTTTCATCAGCTCCTTTGGGTCAAGATTTGAGCTGCGTTATTGCTGAATCCAAAGGAGGGCTGTGTTATTACACTTGCCAACAGGAAGGGCAAGACTAGCTCTTTTGCGCTATCATCGGATGAATGGAAGCAATGCTAGATGAGACTTTACCTCTTTTCTCTGGATCATAAAACAAAGTGAAAGTTGGTCGCTCAGATCTGTCAGAGTCTTTGCAACCCCATGGACTGTAGCCCACCAAGGTTCCTCTGTGCATGGGATTCTCCAGACAGAATACTGGAGTGGGTTGCCATTCCCTTCTCCAGGGGATCTTCCCGACCCAGGGATCAAACCTGGATCTCCTGCACTGCGGGCAGATTCTTTACCCTTTGAGCCCCGTGGATGGCAACGGGGGTCCAAAGCTTGGGTTAAAGATGCATTAGGTCCTGAACATTCTAAGGGGGAGAAGAGAAAGAGACCTCAGAACTAAGCCACACATGCCCCTCACGTTTGTTAAGAACCAGATGAACTTGCTTTTCTCCTTTTCTGCTCTCAGATCACATAAGAAGAAGTGAAAGAGCAGGAACATGAAGTGTGTGTGAGTAGGTGTCTCATGGATGGATGCATAGATTCTGATTTGATGATAAATGATGGGAAAAACTTCAGGAGAGTCATTTATAGAGATTGGGGGACACTATAAGAAGGAGGGAAAACAGGCATCACACTGCCTGGATGAACACAGTGTTTCCAATGGATTTGCACCTCTGCTCTCTGCCCATTTGTAGGCGAGAAGATGAGAATTAGAATGAGGGGAGGGGGC